TTCTTTCTAAAATTGTCAAAAGTATTTTTTACAAACTTGTTTCTTTGTTACGTGTTGTTGTTACCTGCCTAAGTAAAAAGTTAAGTAAGTAATGATCGTAAGCATAACATTTGCGCCGCTTCTGGTTTGGCTGGTGGTATGTGGATGCAGTCACGAATCCTTTATCTTCAGGCTTTATATATGAAGTATAAATGTCGACAAGTGAACATAAATGAACAAATAAACGAATACAGAATAATGAAGCCAAATTATAAATAATGTCTCTATCAATGTAACCAAAGCATATGAAATAATCAAATTATAAATTTACTTACATACATAATTTAGCAACTAATTTAGATAATTTGTGCGTCACAAGAATATGGAAACACGTAAATCGAATGATTTATTTGAAACTGGCCTTGAAGAAAGTCGTTCGAACACAAATATATGGAAGCGGTCGGTATTGGCAACCGTGACGAATTACTTACGAATATATAAACAATAATTGAGCTGTTGGTACAGACTAGAGTACGATATGTAGCTGACAGATATGGACTTGCCCCTACCATTATGCCGTGGATTGGAGCGGGCGTACACCCGATAAAGACAGTATTATCTATTTTGTGCGTTTATATCGAGACTATTGCGCGGTCATTAACAGTACTAAGTTCTACAGTGACTGTTAATCTCCAATTCTCTGTTTATAAACAGAGCAAATATATCCGACTCAATACGTAAGCTGATTAGTTCAAGACTTAATTATGCTTCTCAATGTAAGTGGTAACAAAACGGATACAAAATTACTCTTTAAACTAAAAGACGATTCTTATGCATAATTCAAATGACGATGTTAGCGGTGCACAGATTTATTTGTATAAACCGTATTTTGTTTTGTTTATAACAACCAAAAATACTAATGCATTAAAATAATTAGCGATTTTCGAGGAAGTTCTGAGGCCAAACAAATCGTAAATAGCAGTACCAGTAACCTATTTCTCCTTGAATTTTATAACTGCATCTTAGGAAAATTTGTGCTGGACTTATGTCGTTCTGTCGTCGTAGTAAGATAAAGATCTGCTTATCTATCGAACAAATTAATAATATTTTTAGTTCGACCGTTATTGACATTGCAACACTAATAATAACAAAGTAGATTTGTTAAAAATAATCTGGTCAAATCTTATTTTCCTTTTTCCTTAGTATTTCTATCATCATCTTCCTGCCCTTGTCCCGTTTTATTTGGGGTCGGCGCTATATGTTTTATTCTTCCATTCTGTCCTGTCAACCGTCACGCTATCACTAACTCCTCTGTCTTCCATATCACTTCTCACACAATCCATTCATATTTTCTTTGGTCTCCCTCTCCCTCTCCATCCATCCACATTTGTACTCATGGCTTTCCTTAGTATTTCTATACTATTATAAAGAGTTAAAAGTTGTAAGTTTGTGTGTAGACGGTAATCTCTGAAATCGCTGGTCGAATTTTCAAAACTATTTCACTGATAGATAGCTACAATGTTCCTGAATGCTATAACCTATAAATCATCACGATACGTTTTATAGGAGCCGGGCATCGATTGAAAAGAAGGCATCGAGAAGCTAGTGACTAAATAAAATAATTCTCCTAATTTCGGATATCAGTTATTTAGACTCAAAACAGAAACACTAATATAAAAGTACCTAATAATATAACAAGAGAAAATGACGTACATAACATGATGTTATGTTAAATTCATGTTTTACCCAACACTACAATAGAGGTATGATTGCATCGACCAGTGAAATGAAAGTAACAATCGTTTTATGAATCGAGTCAATGGAAGGTAATCTAATCACCGCCGCAAATATTACACAATGTTTGGTACTGAAAAACTTAACAATAATCCCATGTTGTGTCAACTCTTTTGGTAATAGCTTTACCCAATAACCCCCATAATTTCTCTTGGATTCTTTAATTAGTCAAATTAATCGAATTTTTACATACTTTCACCAATTAAATCTGCAAGATTTATCAGTCAGGATGTATGCTCCCATTTTATCAGTAATTTTTTAATTAAAAGTGTTTTAAAATCCAATTATTAACTTACATTGTCGAGGATGAACACTAGAAAAGTTACAACAAATAAAAATAGAGTATGTGAGTCGTATAGTAATTTTATACGCTGCGTGTTACACCGTGCAGTTTGAGCATCTATTGTTAATTTTCTATTCTCTATTACAATTATTTGCTTCATGGGGAAGTAGGAAATAGTGCGAGGCGCGCGTATAAATAATATAGCGTGACTTTCTCCGTTTGTTTTGATGCGGACAGAGCGGCGCGGGCGCATGGGCACCGCGCTACCACACAAGTGACACAAGTACCTACTCGGGAACACGAACATTACATAAACTAAGAACAGAAATATTAACTAATGTTCACATGCATTATGAACAAGTTCTGTATCAATAGTTCAGTTATACTAGCACTGGTTAGGTAATAACCAGAAACAATAAATAATGTACCTACCTTCCATCGGCTAATCATAAAACTATTAAAATTACACTGTCCATTTACTATTTGTAGAAAATATACTTAGCTCTAGCTCTTCTTTTATAAATAATTGTTTATTATATTAATTATGATATTATTTTGAAATTCATATTCATTTAATCTCGAGAAAATCCATGGCCACTTAAGTCTAGGTACTTAGTTATTATTAATAGGTTAAATCTGTTTTCGTGTGTGAGTTATACATCACCCCGGAACCAATCAGAGCCCAAACATTGCACCAAAGAAGTAACGCGACAGTTGCGGCACCGTTACGTAAAGTCAGATTGTCAAAATGTCGCAAGCGCAGATCACGTAGGCCGCGCTCCTTGCAGCCGACGCAACCGACAAATCGCTGGGAAAGCACCATAATTCCGCCAATCACACGGGAATCTCAACTATGCCAGCTCTGATGTCCAATCACCGAGTGGTAAATATAGATTCAATCCCTGAATCTAAAATTTAACGTTGTCACAATCTCTCAAGTCAATTTGTATCAAACCTATACAAAAATGGCGACTTGTTTACGAATTTTGAAGTTCGAGGTTGTTAAACTAATCGCCATTCAAATGAACGTATGTTTCTCAATGTTTTAATCTTGTGTGCATTCAAAGCGGATACAAAAATACACACGGACCTTCACTGTGACATTCGAATCCATCAGAGAATCTCGTTTCGACCGTGTACAATACTGAGGTCTACTTTATAATATAGTTATTCCCCAATATGAACGGTAAATGACCTTGTTACAGTTATAAAATGTCATGCTCGCGTTTGAGCAACCCGAACTGGTTAGTGCTATCATAAACAAAAAATGTGAGACAAAACTCTTTAGTGTCCAAATTGAGAGTTAGTTTAATTTAAAATTATGTACACAAGTATGTAATATTCTCGATTGCTTTCCCAATATTGAACCGTAGTTTTGACATGGGTAGTCTTAGAGATGACTTTCTAGACGGATTCTATGTCACCAAATAGTACATTGGTGCTCCAAAATCGGAGGTACAAATTGAACAATGAACGACGGCGACGCGGGACCGAAAAGAAAATTAATTTAGGTATTGGTGTCGGTCGGCGAACCCGCGATTGTGAAACGCTGAGCGATTGCGCTCAGTACTGTTTGTGTAATACACCGGCACAATGCTCCACCAAATCAACTGGCCCTCGAAAATGTTCACCTGTGTTGAAACGAGCCTTCAATAACTATTCTTCAATGAGCAACTATCTGTTTGCAAATTCATAGTCAAGATTCTTCAAGATTTATTATGGGAATACCAAAATAAAACTCTCAAGACAACCATCAGTGTTCCTTTGTTAATGAACACGAAGTAACTCAAAACAAACTATCAGCAACATTCATAAACCACTTCAGGATCAAAACTTGAACAGTTTAGAAAACAAGAGAAAATTAATAAATAAATCAATTTTTCGAATTGGAAAATATTCAATAGCGAAAAAATTACAAAAATCATGGAACAGAACACTCGAGCAAAGTTGGTAATTGGGAGATGAGATCTCGTGGAACGTGGCCCGAGGCGGCATGAATGAAAGCCGCTCACTGACAGCACACTATGATCGTCCCAGGGTAGTCACACCAAATAAACACCGAGTTTTTCAACATGTCAACTATACACTGCTCGGTATGCTCAGGTATACACGCAGGTTGTGTGGGCTAAACCAGTCATGTATGGAATAAAAAGTTGGTTGATATTTGTGCCAGCGGTCGATTTGTGCACGCTAAGGATATCGACATCCGCCGAACGAGTTTTTCCAGTCCGTATCATCGCAATATCACGGTTATTATTGAAACGCGCGCTGCGGTCGCGACAGGTAAGTAAAACATTTATCACGGGAAATATTTACCAATCTAGTGCAGCCTTATCTTATACCACACACATTTTAGGGGAGATTGGACAGCCTCTGACGTATTTATAACGAGTCAACGACTTGGAATATAAAAACGATTGATACATTATAACATTTAGATATAGTTCTTATTAATAATAAAATTATGACAGAAATATAGTTTTGTACGTACAAAATTGTGATTTAGAAAGTTCACTGTATTAAGCATAAGTCCATTTGATTGTATCTCGGTGAACCATACCACTTACGGTACATACGGCTCGTTCGTGGGCAGAGAAATTTGGTAACACAAATATTAAGCCACAACCAGTTCACAACAATTGAAACGGCGATTTGAAAGACACGGCGACCAATCAGTCACGGTTCTTGTGAGCTCCGCATTCTGTGCCTCCTCTTAACAAACATTTCATATTTCGACATCGCACACTTGTATTTTCTGCACATTGATTGAGATTAACTATTTTTTTTATTCATATTAAAGGTTGTTGTTACTGTTTTCGTACGTGATCGCTGAGGGTTTGGAATGGAGACCGTAGTATAGAAAAAAGGCCGTCGCTGTCTCTTTTAACTCAACACTCACATCCGTAGTTACGTGCAGAGGCTGGCTAATAAAACAAATTCTAAGTTTAATTTTTATTAAAAAAACTGATAAAATGTTACAGAATGGTACAAATATGTGAAGGTCACAGAAATCAATAGCTTTCTTACATTAAAATATATTATGTTATTCAAAGATAACACAGGTACATAAATAAACAGTAAATACAAAACAAACATTAACAATATTCTTTTGACTTCTTTATTCTACTTTCTTCTTGATTAATCCAACTGTATTCGCGTTATTCGTACGGACCCCGGTGCATTGTGAAATTAGTCGAGGTAACTCGTCGTTCCGTTGTTGTTGTTCAAAAGTATTATAAGACATTAAATAATCAAGTTATTAGCATTTCTGTGTCTACGTTTTCATAATTTTACCCGAAACGTATTGCCTTCTTTCGTACCTGTCACATCACAGAAATTGATCTTTTACGTCAGGATGACAAATGAAACATTCATCCTTGCAACACGTCGCTTACAATTGCATCGATATCATGAATCAATAACCTGCGCTCATTAGGTTGTAGTAGGTGACATATAGCAGTTCCCAAATCATCCATATAAACCGATAATGGATACTTATTCAACTTATCGAATTCGTGTTTAACCACAAAAGTGGCTAGATCGACACAATTTGATCCGAATGTATTTTTCAAATGATCTTCTTTGAGTTTGACTGGTGCAGAAATCTTTGTTTTATCGGTTTCTTTTACAGCGCTTGTAACATTAGATATGACAATATTATTTACATTTCCTTCTTCATCATTTCTTCCAAAAGGATCTTCTGATAATTTTATTTCGTCACTACAGATATTTGATCCATTATCTATGTCATATCCAAGTAATATTGAGAGAGTCCTTTTTGTAGCCAAATGATTTTTTACCTTGATGATTTGTTTTGTGTGTGCAGACGTAAACCATGGATCGACAAAATCCAACATTCCATTTAAATATTTTGCTACCTTGTAGTTCATGCGGACTTCCATCTCGGTCAATTCTCCATCAATGATCATGAGCTTTAATCTTTTATAAATAGTACTTATACTAAACCACATTCTACGGCATCTAAACGCTGAAAATAACATATTACATATTACGTTAATATGATAATTATAGACAGACTACTAATACATTGCTTTCTTCTATAAAGACTAGTAGATAGACTTAAATGTTATTGTACAGTTTAGAAATTAATTAAAGTAAAGCTTAGCCCACGACAAAGTGACGGTCGCAAAGACCGTGCCTACCTAAATATGTACTTAGTCTTGTTGTCTAATAATAACATTACTTGTAGGTATAGTATTTAGTGACCGATATTTAAACACAACATTATACTTACACATGATCACAAACAACTTTCTCAAAAAAACTGTTTTTCTATAGTAATTAGTTTTATTTTTATTACTTAGTATAAAACGTTAGTGCCGGGCGAGTAAAGCCCAAAAGGGGGCATCGCCGCTAACAGCTGACTGGGCGACAACGAAACGCGGGCGCGCGAAGTTATTTGAAGTAATAAAAATAAAACTAGTGAGTATAGATTTTTTTTTCTTTGTAATTAATAACCAGTCACCTACACCTACCTTCTAGCATATATTACAAATGTATATTTACCACTTATTCCTAAAACTTCAGATATCTTGTCCCATGTTTGTTCCGTCAACGTCTTGTCACGCGTCATATCACATATTTTATAAGCTCTTACTAGATTGATTAGATTTCTTTGTGTTGTTTTCCAATTGTAACGGCGTCTTTCCCTCATGTTTTGGTGGTTTTAAATACGTGTTACACTGAAAGCGGCGTGCACGGGAATGAGAGATGGGGCGCGCGAGGAGCAGCGAGCGCGGTTCCCCGCTCCCCGCCTCCGCCCTTTAACGCCCGACGAGCGCCGAGTATGGCCGACGCGCGACGACGGACGGCGGCAGCTCGCGGCGAGGTCTCGTACGAGACAAGACGATAACAGTCACACACCATGTATACTTAGTGCATTGTACATATCATATAAATATTCTTATTTACTATCACGATGGTCAAGGGCGATGAAAGGATTGGACAAGAAAAACAACAGTAAATGAAGCTTCAAATAAAATATCACGTTAAAAACTTCACTAATTAAATTCATGAACACAATGATGAAATAATAAAATGAATAAAAAATACAAATAATGCTATAAAATAATAATTACTTATAAAATAAAAAAAATCAAGGTTAAGGTGCCCGTTTCTCATACAAAGAGTGCGGGTTCGAAACTGTAACTCCTGTGTATCGTTTAGTGACAATGTGGAGGCGTTTTTTTTTATAAAGCTAACAGACTAGAGAACATTAATGATAAATCAATAAAAATATATGTGTTTATATAATTGTATACACCTACGATTATTCTATCAAAAATAATAAAGGAATATGGTACGACGTTAATCGTCGTGGTTGCCCGGAGGTTAAGGCACCCGCTTCTCAAGCATGAGGGTGTAGGTTCGAAACCTGACTGGTGTGGAGTGGTACTCGGTGTAATGAGCGGTTACTCTAATTAATTCCTGTATAATATTTAGATGTTTTGGGACTGACACATAACTTTTTAAAGAAGTTCTTACAAGTAAATAAAAAGGAAAATAACATCTTTGCACATCAGTTCTATAGTTCTCACTTCGCGAAAAAAATAATTGGTCAATATTTAAATATTTACACTGTACATACTTTTAAACTAGATTGAAAATTTGTAAAGCAACACTGAAAAGAAATTTAAATGCAGAGGCTACGAACTAAAAATAGCTTTTATAAAGTGTGATACGCATACATATTAGCAATATAAATAATACTTGTGTTAAAATGTGAAGGTGGATTGAAATGCGAGGGGTGTGTCGCGTCATCGCCGCGTGGGTGCGATCTCGTAGCAGCTCGTAGGGCCGTGACGTCACGGTGACGCGCGCGCCTACGACTGCTACGAAGTGCGTAGGCATCTCGTTATCAGGAAGACGGCTACTATTCAATCAACTTTTACAATTTCGTATACATACATGTTTATATTCAACCGCAGTATTTATACTTATAAAATTTATTACTTGGGATAATTGAAGCAATGCCGTAGCATCTTCTCATGAAATAATATCCGACTCATTATTTATAAAGACACACAGTCAAGTAGTCCATACGTACTGATTAAATATTTCTTGAATGAATATTCAATTAATTAGGAACACTTGCAATACTCCATTTAAATATCCAATGTTCCGGACACCGAAATTGACAGACTCGATAATGCATAAATTGTTTATTTCTCGAAAGCGTTTTTATTTATGACCACAAAAAGCAATAAAGTAGCGAGCAAGTGCGCGCTTTATTAACCTCTGGCGTACGGCACGGCGCGCATTCCGGCCTCCAAACCTGTCCCAACGGGTGAAATCAAAGAGTCGCAAGTTAAGGAGCACCCGGCCTCGGTACATTGTCTCATATTCTATTAACACAACAACTCGGCCGTGTAATACTTGTTTGTATCTGAGTAAAAATCGCGGTGGATGAAGCCGAGTGGGCGCGATCTATGTAAATGCCTACACGCTCGGTACGCTTTCGAGATGATATCAAAGATGACGCGAGCGCAGACATGACATTCATTACCTTTATGATAAAGCGTTGATTGCAATATAACAATTAACTAAACGAGTGTTTTGTTGATTTTGTTATTTGAATTTCAAATGAGGTTCATTTGCATTTCGACCTAGTGTTGTGAACTAAGTGATCACTGGCTGTGCCCATATACGCAAGAACGAGTGAGGTTACCAGTTGAGAGTTAGTGAGAAACTATACGAACTTTCTTTTAAATTATATCTCATGGAGAACAATCTACTTAAATGTTTGTATCGTATAAAAATTACTGTCGAACGGCACCAAGAAAATAATTAGAAATTATAATAAATATTTTTCACCACTTTAACTATAAAAGATTGTCTAGGATCAATTATGTTTTTTTTCTAGACTTTTTTCAGATGTTATGCGCAGTTAGTAAAATGAGTCCCACTTAGGCCGATGTCCGGCTGAAGTTAACCAGCTAGCAAGAGGAGTGGAAACGGTACGTTTTTTGGTCCGTATGAGTCCGACACTCCCTTTCCTCAACATAGGCGGTATAAGCCAATGGATGATTCTCCAACCAAAAATAAATACTTATACAATCAGATGAGTCAAAATAAAAAAAAACTTGGTAAGATCTAGGCATTCTAAGTAGGCAGTAAAGAAAAAAGGTTTCATATCTGCGCAATTTAGATACTCTATGAGTTTCGATGTCAGTGACTAACGATTACAGTCTACTTTACAAACACGCTTCTACCGCAGACTATTGTCCATATATACACACATGTACCTAAACAGTACATATATAATGTTTGTATGTGTGAGATACGTGCTCTCATCTGAGCTCCAATCATTTGTAATATAGCACTATTAAGAGAAATATTTATATTAGCGTTTTTATGCTTATTTCTTAGCCGGTGAAGTCTTGGTGTAATAAAGGACTATTTTAAGATGTTAGTTTTTATCAAGTATTTAAAGTTTGTACATTTAAGGTTTGAGGACTATGTGCCACATAGGATTATCGTTTTCTTGGTGTTTGGTCACCCTCCATGAGCAGCGCCGATTACTTACCATTAGGTAATCTGTCAGCTCGTTTGCCGACCTATCTTATAAACAAAACAATGTTAAAGTAGGACCTGGTACAATAGGCGTTCTCTTCAGTCGACCTTTAGGTGATACAACTAACCAGTCTGGAATTATATCCATTATTTAAGGGGTAGGTTTAAAAACTTTCTATTATTGGAATTTAAAAACATTACAGGAAAAGTGATGAAGCTTTATTAGCTTCATCACTTTAGCTATTATCTTCAGCCTAAAATAGAGCTGCAGTATTATTATCCAATGGTAAAAATTATAATACGGTACTAAACTATAAAATATTAAACTAAAGTTTTATTACAAAGATACAAAAAAAGAATAAAACAGGTTTAAAACTAAAAAGACCACCATTAGATGGAAATAAAAAAAAACCTGGGAATTAGCAGTCATAGTTATTGAACAATGAATAAATTTTACAATAACAGAAACCAATCAGCACATGTCTTGTGACCTCCCTGGTGGATGTCCAGGTTTGATATTGATTGCTTATCATCCGATCCGGTGATCCCTAAACTCAGTTGCCTAAAAATCAAAAGGGAATTAACACTTGGCCCTGCATCCTAATAAATTTACACACAGAAATTTAAAAACCTTAAACAAATAGGTACCAAATGAAACCATTTCCGTGTCCAACCACGAGTTCAATGACCTGCGATGTCTCAGTATTAGACTATTAGCGTTGTACTTTACTACCATATATCAATGTGAAAGCATTTTTGTTTACTTCAACGAGTAAAATAATTGTAATTGATATTCAAGAGCGGAATTCGTTAAGATTTAATATTATTATTTATATATCGACTAGAGTTTGTTCAACTTATTACTTAAAAGTATTTTCTATTTTGTTCTGTTTTTAAATTAAGTTAGTCACCTATGGATTGTATGTATTTCGTTCTTAACTATTGTCTTACTAACTTACCGGAAAAAATACCCCTTATGGCAGTCCAGATTATATCTATCTCTGTCGAATATTCATTCATTCAATAGTTTATACATGAAAGAATTACTATAATCCACCTATCTATCCATACATACTTCACTTAAAAACTTTTGCGTTTATAATATAAGTATTTCTACAGTTTCTGGAATCAAGTCTCTAACCTTATTTCGAAAAATTATCCGTAGCGCTAAGTACAACAATAAAATTCTCAGACTTCCATTCACCAATCCTTTCTGAAGAAAAACAAAAGCCTATCCACAGACTATATATACTATTCTAAGAAAATTATTATTTCTATTGAGCTTATTTCAAGGTGATAAAAATTTTATAATCGCTAAAACACTTTTTCTCATAGAAAATAAAGTCAGGAATCCGGTGTAACCAGCTTCGTGAAGTGCTTATTTCACACAGTCATACAAACATGGCATGATACGGATGACCTAACAATTTTTATTTATTATAACACCAGTCTGTTGTGCTCAAGTACAACTATCTTTAAGCACACTTTGCGGTTAGCGGAGTTCACCAAAACATGCTCAGTTATTCGAAGCTGCTGCTCATATACGACGAATTTTGAACAATATGGTTTAGTATCTGCAATACTTGGGAGATAGATATCTACGTCTTTACTGATTTATTTATTTGTTTTATTGATTTGTAACAAACAAGTTTTTTGTCACATTAAATCCATATTATAAATTAGGGTTCCAAAGTTATTAAACCTAGCCTTTTTCCTAAATTCAAGGAAAAATGAGTGCGTTATACATTGCAGCTATGTGCGTAAAGAGTTTGAGTAAGTATAGCACAGTTCGCACGTTCGTCATTTACAATCCGCACGTGAATTCTGGCGCTTATGAAAGCAGCTTAGCGATTAAAGTAGCGATTAGTCAGCATTTAGCAAGTGTGATTGTAAAGCGACACAGCCATTTACGCTTTTAGATTTATTGCTTATAAAAACCTAATGAGTGCGCTTTGGCTCCGATAATACATGTGGGGCGGTCCATACATAAAATTAACATAAAACATCTCAATACAAGTAAATAAATTGTACGCGAATTAATTTATTAACAGCCTGTGTTTACCTTTTAGATGAGATATGAAGTCTATGCTTAGCACGTTGAAGTTGGGAACCAATAATTTACGCCGTGTGTTTCAACACCGAGTCATAAAATTTGTGAGTCAAAATTATTTATACAGAGTATTCCAGTGTCCGGGACTGGTAAGTACAAGAATCAAAGCGATGCCGATATAACT